AGGGGTCGGGGACTGTGTTGATGAGAGGGGTGGGGACTGTGTTGACGAGAGGGGTGGGGGACTGTGTTGATGAGAGGGGTGGGAACTGTGTTGATGAGAGGGGTGGGAACTGTGTTGATGAGAGGGGTCGGGGACTGTGTTGATGAGAGGGGTGGGAACTGTGTTGATGAGAGGGGTGGGGACTATGTTGATGAGAAGGGTGTGGACTATGTTGACGAGAGGGGTGGGGACTATGTTGATGAGAGGGGTGGGGACTGTGTTGACGAGAGGGGTGGGGGACTGTGTTGACGAGAGGGGTGGGAACTGTGTTGATGAGAGGGGTGGGAACTGTGTTGCTGAGAGGGGTGGGGACTGTGTTGATGAGAGAGGAGGGGACTGTGTTGATGAGAGGGGTGGGAACTGTGTTGATGAGAGGGGTGGGGACTATGTTGATGAGAGGGGTGTGGACTATGTTGACGAGAGGGGTGGGGAATGTGTTGATGAGAGGGGTGGGGACTGTGATGATGAGAGGGGTGGGGAATGTGTTGATGAGAGGGGTCGGGGACTGTGTTGCTGAGAGGGGTTTGAACTGTGTTGATGAGAAGGGTGGGGACTGTGTTGACGAGAGTGGTGGGGAATGTGTTGATGAGAGGGATGGGGACTGTGTTGATGAGAGGGGTGGGGACTATGTTGACGAGAGGGGTGGGGACTATGTTGACGACAGGGGTGGGGACTGTGTTGATGAGAGGGGTTGGGACTATGTTGACGAGAGGGGTGGGGACTGTGTTGACGACAGGGGTGGGGAACCATCCATTGAAAAGCAGTTAGACAATCCCTATTATGACATCTTGAACAAATCCTGTGAAGTCTGGTTGCCACAAAACATTTCATTTATGTTTTGATACATTATATATGTAGACTATATCATGGTAAACCCAAAGTGCAAATACACGTTTATCATTAAAAGATCTGCTACACAGGTATGTACATATTACAAACACTTGTATGCAAAAAATAGCAGCAAAGTATCAGGGACAAGTAATTTTATGGACAATTATATTGCTGGTGTATACAGGGCCCATGATAAACTGAAATAATATATCTTTAGTTAGAATAAATCAAATTTGTAACAGGGCTCTGGTCAATGGATAATGTCCTGAAAAATATGTAATGCAGTATCTATTTTTCCTCATCAATATTTTACTATTAATTTGAATTCTGATTTAATAAATGGCATGTAAAATGGTCTTGTAATATATATTAAGCATCAATCACCTTTCATATAGTCCTCTGGATATAGTTTTTTTGTTAATATTTTATTCAGTATTTCATCATAAGTGTACATAAATTTCTTAACCTGATAAGACTACCGTACGTCTCAGCTGGGTCTTGTAATATTTATTTAGCATCAATCACCTTTGAAATAGCTCTCTGGATATATTTGTTTACATTTTATTCAATATTTTATCCCAATGTAGCTACATTTCTTCACCTGATAAGACTACCGTGCGTCTCCCCTATACTAGGTCGGGGAGACACTGTACGGTAGAAGCCTGTTCCGTATTAACAACTTATTAAAAATTAATTATTATGTTTTACCTTAACTCTCCGGTTGTTAATATCTGCTCAATATAAAGTGATAATCGGTCCTGAAATAGCCATATCTCGAAATGAAACTGCATGATCACACCTTATGGATCGAGATTTCTGATCGATATATAGGACTGGTGTACATATAAGGTATGCAGGTAGATCAAGATAAAATTGCCCAGACCTGTAATAATAGTGATCGTTTGCAAAAAGAACTGTTCTGAACTGAAAATGACATTAAAAAAACATCAATCCAAAAACAATTTTTCATTTCAACTGTGTGGTGATCAAACACCGAAATTACTTCCTGCGGACGGCAGTGAAGCTTCGTTCATCGATCAGTAGGAATATAAGCTCGACCGCATGACATGCACACGCAATACTGAAAGTTTCCGTAAGCCTCGTTATGAATTTCATGTTCACTGTTTTTTTGTGCTGACTGCAATCACTAAATTGATAATTCGAGTTCGTCATTAATTTCCTAACCTTACCCTTCCCACACGACCTTTAATACGACAGCCACAATGACATATGAAGCAATGTTCATTCAAGTAATCGTAAGTAATTACTTACAAGTAAGTCATGTAAGTAATTCATATAAGTAATTGTTTGGCTATTCATTTGCTTGCCGCTGTCATCCTCTGACCCCGAGATCTAGAGTGCGTCTCGTGACACCTAACAGTGTATCCTGCCTATTTTATGTCAATGACAAAATCTAGGAATATGTCGTGACACTGCAAGTTCGCAAGTGTAGCATCCTCACTATTTTTTAAACGCCATATACCTATTTCTAGCAAAACGCGGGGACAAGGGCAAAGTAATGAAGTAAACACTTACCGCAAAATAGGTTTTCCCTCGGTCCTCCAAGTATCATCCTTTCGCGTCGTCTGCTTGAAAAGACGCGCGTGAGTAACAGCGCCCTCTATTACAAGAGTAGCTTCCCGTGAAGCATGTTGTGAAAACGTTGGACCAACAGTAACAAAACCGATCGCGATACTCCAAACTTTTGCCAACATTATTGTAATTTGCTGAATGAATTGTAAGATGTGAGAAATCCCGTCTGTATCTTCCTGTCTGTTGTACATGTGCAGCCAACATGGTCAGTAAATGTGCTTAATCTATTTCATTTCAAAATTACAAATAAAGTTAATAGATCTATGTTCGAATAGAATTAATGTATTATTCGTAAATATATTAATATTTGTTAGCAATATTCCAGCAATATCACGGCGGGGGACACCAGAAACAGGCTTCACACATTATACCCATGTCGGGAATCGAACCCGGGCCATCGGCATGGCGAGCGAGCGCTTTAACCACTAGGCTACCTGGCCGCCCTCGGCCTGATGTAGATGTGCTGGCTGGGCACGTGCCCTCGATGATTTCAAAATGAGGGAATCTATATTACCACGACGTAGGACGTGCATCAATTTCTTTGGCAATAAACAAAATCAAACTGTTAACTTCAGTGCCATGCATACAGTAATAGATTAACACTGTTCTATATAAACGAGTTCATAAACTACTTTACACGAAATATTTTCTTTTTATGGTCTAACATGACAGATAATGACAACAATGTAAACACATGAAGTGGGGTTTTGTGGGTGTGGTTGCTCGTACTAGTCCGGACTAATGCCGATTTTATAGAACTAGCCCACTGTCAGTGAGTGAGTATGGTTTTACGCCGCTTTTGGCAATATTCCAGCAATATCACGGCGGGGGACACCAGAAATGGATTCACACATTGTACTCATGTCGGGAATCGAACCCGGGTCTTCGGTGTGACGAGCGAACGCTTTAAACACTAGGCTAGGGAGTGCAGAGTCTATTGCAAGACAGAAACGTCAGTAACGTGTTTATGATCCACTGACATTGACCACAGCTTCAACCCTACGCCTCATACTCATTACAAGTCGTTGAATGCTTCTCTGAGGCAAACGGATCCATTCTTCATGAAGTGCGGCTTCAAGTCCAGCGAGATTTTGAACTGGGGGATCACGATGTCTGATTTTCCGGCCAAGAATGTCCCAGAGATGCTCAATCGGATTAAGATCCGGACTACAGGCCGGCCAAGGAAGAGTGGCAATAGCTTCTTGACGCAAATAAGCCAAAACTGACCGAGATCTGTGTGGTCTAGCATTGTCGTCCATGTAAACAGGTCTTGTCTGAAGAGGATGGTTGTCAAAATGAGGGACTACCACTGGACGAAGAACGGCATCTTGGTATTGTTGGCCATTCAGGTTTCCACGAATTGTCACCAGCGGAAGTTTGCAGCCGAAGGAAACACAACCCCATATCATGACAGACCCTCGCCACATGCTAAGGTCTTCTGGGTGTTCCTTGGTGCAAAACGAGTGTTACGTTGCCTCCAAACACGTATTCGACCATCAACAGTTCGTAGAAGCATTCGACACTCGTCAGACCAATGGATCCTTCTCCAGTTGGCCAAGTTCCATCGACTACGGGCACGACACCATATCAGACGATTCCGCATGTGCCTCTCAGTCAGTTGAGGACGTTTTACTGGTCTTCTGGCGTTATAACCAGCCGCTCTGAGGCGACGCCTTACGGTCATCGTCGAGAGTCTCTGATGGGTAATCCACTGCAGTCTTAAATCTGTTGAAGTGGCAAATGGATTTCGTCTGACTATCCTGACAAGACGTCTATCCTCTCTGTTAGAGGTCTTTCTTGGCCTACCAGACCTATGCCTGTGATTGACATCATTGGTTTGACCATGTTTGACAATCAAACGAGTGATAACACTGTTATGACGACTCATTTGTCTTGCAATGGCGCTGGTGACATGCCAGCATTTTTCATGCCTATGACTTGCCATCTTTCAGCGTTTGTTTACTTTCTCCTCGCCATGCATGGCTGATTTTCAACCTCTATTGGATGGGGAATCTCACACAGGAGCAAAATGCAACCACGTGTCTGAAACTTGAATTTCACTATTTATAGGGTAGGGGAACTGCAGCAACACGTAAAGCACGCTTTCCTTGTGGTATCTTGTCAAATTTGGGTGCATACAGTCATACATCATCATATTTCGTATTTCTGATTCCCACACGTAAAATCAAGAGACTATGAATATGGTGGCGCTTAACTTTTGTGTATGTGTATATTACCACTGCTATTGTATTATATGCTGCCATTGAATTTTGTCCTGTCGCTCTATTGTGTACTGCCACTGTAATAACTTTGCAGTAATCTATACTGATTTGTAAACCTAGCGAATTATATAAATTCAGTTATTAATTGTATACCATTTCTTTTGTGTGTGTTGGTTTCACTATTGATATCTGAGTTAACCAATTGTTTCAACTTGAAAATCGACACGTAACAATATATTGTTTACATAAAGTTTCTCATCATTGTATTGTGTTATCTATTTATGTGTTTCACATTTCTCAAATCCTTGGCAGAACTTTGACGGGACAGTAGTTTCTCTTCAAGAAGTGTTTCTGTTCTGACGACCTCTTTGCGCTCTCTGTGAGCCTTCTCAATCTCAGTCCGAGTTTTTGCCATGCTGTAAGAAACGAAAACACGGCACATAAAATCCACCTTGAAAACCTGAACCAAACGTATGTGATGCGCACGTTGTGTAGTATTAATAAGTGTATATGTGTATCTCAGCTGTAGTGAGCCCAAAATACACATTATCTATTACAATATCAGATATACACTCTTAAAAAAAGAAACGCACAGGTAGACTTTTAGTAAATTTATTGTACCTAATAAAGTCGATATATTTAATTTAATATCATAGATACAAATATGAAAGCTTGGAGCTCGATAGTCACATGTTCTTGTACAAAGGCACTGAAAACTGTTTATTGTCATGTCACATAAGGCCACAAGGTTGCGCTGAACTCAGTATCTCGTGTGACGGCCCCGGTTAGCAATCACGGCTCGGGACTGACTGGTGTAGTGTACGAATTCTGTCCTGCGGAATTCTGCGCCATTCTGCTTGTAACGCGTTGGCCAGTTGTGGGAGCGTCTGCGGCGTGTTCTGACGTCGACGTACACGTCGATCGAGTTCATCCCAGAGGTGTTCGAATGGGTTGACATCTGGAGATCTGGACGGCCAGGTCAAGCGTTGATGTTGGGGTTATGGAGGTAGTTTACCGTGAGACGAGCTGTGTGCGTTGTCACTGTTGAAACAGCTCCCTCTGGCGGTCAGTGATTGGAAGATGGTGAGATTGACGAATTGGATTCATGTAGCGATTTGCTGTCAAATCTCCCTGAACCACAGTAATAGTTAGCATCTATGAAGAGAAATCTTAGTGGCTAAGAAGGGGCGGAGCGAGCGAGCCCCATTTTTTAGCCACTAAGATTTCTCTTCATAGATTCTTACTGACTTAGAACTCCGCCAACATTTTGATTGACAGTTCCCGTGACGTCATTATCAAGGTTGGTCTACGTCATTTGGCGCAATGACATCAACGAGTATGGACGTGTTCGATGAAAAGGGAACGTTTGATTTGTTGTTTGAAGAATTGTTTGCGAATGCAGATTTTGAAGCTCCCAGTCTAACCCAGCTAACATCTTTTCCAACCCAAGAGCTTGTGAAAATTGAACAAAACGATGGCCGTTTTATGGCGCCCTTTTCCTCTGACGACATCAAACAGGAGCAGAAAGGCGCTATTCCAAAGAAAACTAGCGAGAATAACCAAGCCAGATCTCTCGGTGTTGGATATGGCCCCCACACCATGACACTACCGCCACCGAATTTGTCGAATTCACGTACACAATGTGGGGCAAAACGCTCATTTCGACGACGATAAACACGTTGTCTTCCATTTCGCCGGGGAAGAAGAAATCGTGATTCATCGCTAAACCACACTCGTCTCTATAGTTTCTCAAATTCCAAGGCTGTAAGGTATGGCACCAACGCAAGCGTCGCTGCCGATGGATCTGTTGCAAAATAGGGACGATATCTAGTCTTCTGGGTCTGATTCCTGACAGTCTGGTCCAATATCCTCCTTAAACCAGGGTGCAAGTGGCGTGCAACAGAAGACAACGATTCCCCTCTTTAGATACGTCTTATGGCGATGTCTCGGCATTTTCGAACATGAAAAATGTTGACAATTGAATGACAAGTTATTGGCTTATGCTTGCCTTTTCATAGCCACTACCACGAGTTACGAATGCCATAATTTGCACGTGCATTTTGCTTTACTGTTTTCCTTCATGACATTTTTGAACAAGTGTGAAAACAATGCCGTTTAAGACATTGCACTATACGACACTGAACTTCTTTTATCTTTAAGCAGCGATGTAGTAAAGTCATCCGCAATATATCCCCTCAATAAACCCTGCCGCCCTTTATCTTCCCGAGTTTGTCGTTGATTACTTCCATGTATACACTATAGATATTATATGTAGGAACTCAACAGCTTTCAATCTATTTGCCAAAACGTTTGCGAATATTTTATAATCCAGATTCAAAAACGTAATAGGCCGATAGTGTTTTAATTATAGAAGGTCCCTGTTCGGCTTCTCAATCAGTGTTAGAACCCCGCCCCCAGCTGGGACGTACGCTGTCAAACCGGCCTGCCCCATTCAATGAAGCAATGAAATAAACCCGGAGATCCTCATTGGCCGTCTTCTGGTTACGGAAAGGGACGAGAGTTGCCGAATGTGTACTGATCGTCACGGTGCGAAGGAAGTGTTCAGTGTCACATGTCTGAGGTTAGGCAACAAGCCAAGGGAGTCTTCACCGCTTTCAATACTCACGACTAGCAGTGTTGCAGTAGCAGGACTGGACATAGGCCTGCTTCCACCGTGTTGTGGCGAGGTTGTTGGACTGGGGACTGGGGACTGGGGACCGTCAGTGTTTAAGTCAGGTTGTCGCCGCCTGGGGACACTGGCGACCCGGATCTGTGGACAGTGGGTGGAGAAACCCGATCCGGGTAAGTCAGGTCGTGTGTTGTCATGCTGATGACGTACTTCATGCACAGTGTATACGACTATAACCCCTAACTCGATGTTAGATAGACACATTCATTCTTTATTTCACCGTTTCAAACAAATCATGTGTCCGTGGTTCTAGTTTCGGTTTGAACTGACCTGATTCTCGTCGGGACACCCACCCCGACTCACGGATAGTCACGTGACATGGCTCATGTCGGTAAAATATGTTCGTTGAAACAGGATCACGAGCATCATTAGTATTTATGGGTAAAAATCTCAAAACCGACAAATTTTCTGATATCAACTTGCAAAAATAAAAGTGTCCCTAATATAATTTTTCTCTTGATATTAGAGAATATGATACTTGAGAAGTACTTTCTATTTCAATGCAGTGCAGTGATGTGTTTAATTAATTAGAAAATAATTAATGAATTAGCCTAATCTGCTAGGACATTCAACTCCGTTACGGATCACAAAATGGAAAGTAATTTTAATAGCGCTAGGTTGCTTTGAAATATAAAATCGTATTCAGCAATTAACATTAAGTGTGAATACAATTCAGTGTTAAACAAATGCAAACTGGCTAAATAAAATGTATGATTGGACATTTGTAAGTGCTCGCTCCATATTTCAAAAGTTTGCCTAGACAACAAAGTCATTTACATGAAAGACGGTATCCAAAATATAGTATTTTTCATCTTTTGTCACAACATATATTATCATTAGTCCTAATCTAAAGTTAAAACTCATAAAAACAACAAAGTTTTTCGTCAGTTGTCAAAAGAAGTCATCTATTAAAAAAATCCTGACGTAACAGAGTTGAGTTTGTTGTAACGGAGTTGTAACTCATATATTTTGTTATTGCTCTCTAGCATAAAATAACAACCTTTTCATCCCTTTTGAGATGAAATGTGAAAATACATGCACTGTGTTGTGTTACTTGTCAGGACTTTGGTACTCATGGTTTATGAGCCAGTTACTGCAGTAATGGCATACAAAAGTGGGTCTACTAAATTACTAATGTTCAACCCTTTGTATAGACGTTGAAATAAATAAGCACAAAGTTGCTTAAAATGCCATTTTAGATCACTATAATATATTATAAAACTTCAAGATCAAATTTCAGATAAATCATATCATCAACACTGTCAGAAAACATGTTGTTTATACATGCATAATGAAATTGCTTTCTGCAGCCAAAACACAATAGCCAGGCACTCCCATCAATGTAAAAGACAACAGTTCTGTCTTCAATAATTAGTCCACTGTCGGAAAGAGCGCTATCAATAGAATCAAATCCACATTTTGCACAGGTCCTAACATCTTGTTCATCCAAAACATCAGAGCAGTCTGAGTGACTATTTAAAAAAAAAGTTCTTACTCCAGACTGTGGGAAAATTATTTGTCAGGTATAGGGTTAAAATAAAATAAAATATTCGTGAAGAACAAAGCTATGTACTGACAATAACTATCGAAATTGTGCAGATGCACAAATTTTTCCTCTCCGTTACGCTGTACAGCATTACAGAGTTGAGTGTAACGGAGTTGAGAAACCTTACTATAAATGGCTCATATCCCAGCATGCTTTGCTTTTTATGGAAATTAAAATACTCACTGCTAACATGGTCTTGCTAACCAATTTCTCTTGGAAAAGTGAAGGAAATTAGAATGAGATATAGATCTATAGACAGTGTAACAGAGTTGAGGCTCAGAAAACATACTGTACTTAACAGACATATCTTGATGTCATTGGCTTGAACATTGTACATAAATGTGGCATCTATCTATCACCAGCAGATGAACTTCATACACATGTTGCCAAAAGAGGAAGCGTATGAGAGTTATCTCCCATAGCACAGTTATTTTTTTAGTATTGGTACGTTGTAACGGAGTTGAGTGCCTTTTGAGGGACATCTTTTTTTTCTTATTTATTTTTTTTTCAATTAGGTTTTAGATAATAATGATAGGATACATGTAATTAATGTTCATTTGAGAGTGTGAAAAACAAAATTTGTTACATTTTTAGAATATTTAGATATAGATTAGGTATTATTTTTTATTCTGGTCCAGCTGAGGGACAGCCATGTTTTTAGTAAATCCAGAAAATATTTGCTTATAAACAAATATTAACTTGAAAGTACATTTTTTTAGCATTTTACATTTGAAGAAAGGTACTCTACTTGTGAATAGTCTTGAAAAGGAAATCAAATATTTTAAAATACATTTCTGCAAACAAACTACTGATGTACAGGTCAAGTGGGAAATTGTTACGGTGTTGAGATTTTCACCCTTATACCACGAGCTCCCGCATAAAACCCCGTATGCGCCGAGTGATCCTGCTACAGCTTCTGTCTGTATGTGGGTGTCTTCACTCATCAGGGTCGTGTTACATAGCGGAAGGACCAGGAAGTTGGAAATGAATGCGTATAATGTAAGGTTTGTGGGGGATTTTATGCAAAAAAAGAGCAGTCCCTAAAATTCTTGAAAAAATAATTATCCTGCAGGCTGACAAAATAAATTTCTGCCACAAATATGACATTATATCAAGGTGTATCTCTTCAAATTCATTCGAATCCCGACATTGGTACAATGTGTGAAGCCCATTTCTGGTGTCCCCTGTCGTGATACTGCTGGAATATTGCTAAAAGCGACGTAAAACCAAACTCTCTCACTCACTCTTCAAATTCAGGCTCGTAGTTTGAAATATAAATATCTGTTTTTGTAGCTGCAGATGAAGAAATGTCTCACCAGGGTACAACCTCCCCCTGCCCCAGAATATCAAGTCCCTAACTCCCTCAAAGTAATAGGCCTATTCCTTTCCACATGACTACATGACATGTGGATACAGCCCATGGACTGCTGCTCCGATCTGGCCACAACATCCCAGGATGTGTCTTTACTAGTAGTGCTGCCACTTTCTCTACACATTTATAATGTACAACAGTTTCTGGGGCCACTCTACCACTAACCAATACAACAAGAGGCCGTCTGAAAAACGCGTCATACCGAAAACAGCACCTCATCCAATGCGATAACGGCTACTATGGCTTAGCAAAAACAGCACCTTATTATGTTTACCTTGGACTGAAATACATGAAATTAAACTCACATGGTCACTTGCAAACACAAATAATTGTGAATTTAAAAAAAAGAAGTTTACCTTAGTAGTTAGTCTCTACTCGCCAACTCTGATTTGGAGGCGCGACTAAACTTATTGTGAAAACATTACATGCTTTGAAGTAAAATAAATGAAATTAAACTCACATGGTCACTTGCAAAAAAAAATAATTGTGAAATATTCATCGCCTCGAAACAAGTTTACCTAAAAATTTAGCCTTTACCCAAATTAACTCAATGTCAATCTGAAACTGAGTCTGGCGGAAATGTGACGATATTGAACTACAGGTTTATTATATATTTAATATTTATTTTAGTAAGTAGGAAATAAATAGTACTTTTATAGATATTTCATAATATATATATTCCCTTACTGCCTATATATTCCCTTACTGCCAGCAGCCGACATCACAAGAATTTTTCTTCGGATAACAGACTGTGTCCCCGCCCAAGGAAAACATATATACTACAACAAAACATAATAAAACATCTAAATAAAGCATACTACTTATCATTATTAAAAATAGAGGTGCCGTTTTCGCCCGACAACTAGTAGCCGTTTTCGCCAGATGAGGTGCCATTTTTGCCCAAGAAATCTGACGTTTTGTTGAGGTTCCATTTTAGCCTGCACCCCTGAAAACAATCATTGCTGTAGAGTGACAGGAGTTACCTCCCCTGTTTGGTGTGTGGTTTATATACAGTGTGACACCAGGTGGCAGTATAACAGTATGGTGTGTTACCTCCCCTGCTTAAGGTATCTGGGCATTAAGGAACTAATAGCAGCAGACAACTGTGTGAATTGAAGGAAGAGGTCGATACTGGTGACCGATCTTTGATGAGCATGTGTATGGCTATGCAAACTTCAGAAAGACTTTTCTTCTGTTAGGTGAGATCGACAAGCAGGTGCCACTCTCAGGATGGAGGCTGCGGCAGGAGGGGCGACCGGGAAGGAGAAGCAGGACGCAGGTAACGTTGTTTGTTAATTTAGTAATTTATTTGTTATTCACAACCTAAGTGTTCCATGTGTGTTTTTTCAGTTATCCTAGTCCAAGCATTGGTGGTCATTCCTGAACGTAAGATCTGCATACAATGCCTCTCGTTTCATTGTTCCTTAGGCAGTGCAGCCAGCACCCATGTAGATCCAGGGTAGAATAGGTCTTCAGCAACCAATGCTTTGACGTAAAAGGCTACTATGCTTGTCATAGGAGGCAAGTAATGGCATCTGGTGGTCATGCTCGCTGACTTGGTTTGATACATGTTGTCGTATCCCAACTGTGGATCGATGCTCATGATGTCAATCACTGGATTGTCCCGTCCAGGATCGATTATTTAAGGACCGCTGTCATATAGCTGGAATATTGCTGAGTGCAGTGTTAAACAACAAACCAACCGGATTGGTTGGCAGTAGCAGGGCAATAGGTTCCTTTCAGGGAAATATATCTTGGTGCTTTAACAGTATCACATACATAAGCAGCGTGTATATCCCCCACTTTGTGTCACTTGTGGCAATCGTTAACCAGGATCTATCTTGAGGAATAGTCCATTTCAATGACAGGACAACAATTGGATTGTGACAAGGCTATCTATGTGAGGGGGTCTTGGGAGGGAAGTGAAGTGTCATGTGACAAGGCTATCTATGTGAGGGGGTCTTGGGAGGGAAGTGAAGTGTCATGTGACAAGGCTATCTATGTGAGGGGGTCTTGGGAGGGAAGTGAAGTGTCATGTGACAAGGCTATCTATGTGAGGGGGTCTTGGGAGGGAAGTGAAGTGTCATGTGACAAGGCTATCTATGTGAGGGGGTCTTGGGAGGGAAGTGAAGTGTCATGTGACAAGGCTATCTATGTGAGAGGGTCTTGGGAGGGAAGTGAAGTGTCATGTGACAAGGCTATCTATGTGAGAGGGTCTTGGGAGGGAAGTGAAGTGTCATGTGACAAGGCTATCTATGTGAGAGGGTCTTGGGAGGGAAGTGAAGTGTCATGTGATAAGGCTATCTATGTGAGGGGGTCTTGGGAGGGAAGTGAAGTGTCATGTGACAAGGCTATCTATGTGAGGGGGTCTTGGGAGGGAAGTGAAGTGTCATGTGACAAGGCTATCTATGTGAGGGGGTCTTGGGAGGGAAGTGAAGTGTCATGTGACAAGGCTATCTATGTCAGGGGGTCTTGGGAGGGAAGTGAAGTGTCATGTGACAAGGCTATCTATGTGAGGGGGTCTTGGGAGGGAAGTGAAGTGTCATGTGACCAGGCTATCTATGTGAGGGGGTCTTGGGAGGGAAGTGAAGTGTCATGTGACAAGGCTATCTATGTGAGGGGGTCTTGGGAGGGAAGTGAAGTGTCATGTGACAAGGCTATCTATGTGAGGGGGTCTTGGGAGGGAAGTGAAGTGTCATGTGACAAGGCTATCTATGTGAGAGGGTCTTGGGAGGGAAGTGAAGTGTCATGTGACAAGGCTATCTATGTGAGAGGGTCTTGGGAGGGAAGTGAAGTGTCATGTGACAAGGCTATCTATGTGAGAGGGTCATGGGAGGGAAGTGAAGTGTCATGTGACAAGGCTATCTATGTGAGAGGGTCTTGGGAGGGAAGAGAAGTGTCATGTGACAAGGCTATCTATGTGAGAGGGTCTTGGGAGGGAAGTGAAGTGTCATGTGACAAGGCTATCTATGTGAGAGGGTCTTGGGAGGGAAGTGAAGTGTCATGTGACAAGGCTATCTATGTGAGAGGGTCTTGGGAGGGAAGTGAAGTGTCATGTGACAAGGCTATCTATGTGAGAGGGTCTTGGGAGGGAAGTGAAGTGTCATGTGACAAGGCTATCTATGTGAGAGGGTCTTGGGAGGGAAGTGAAGTGTCATGTGACAAGGCTATCTATGTGAGAGGGTCTTGGGAGGGAAGTGAAGTGTCATGTGACAAGGCTATCTATGTGAGAGGGTCATGGGAGGGAAGTGAAGTGTCATGTGACAAGGCTATCTATGTGAGAGGGTCTTGGAAGGGAAGTGAAGTGTCATGTGACAAGGCTATCTATGTGAGAGGGTCATGGGAGGGAAGTGAAGTGTCATGTGACAAGGCTATCTATGTGAGAGGGTCATGGGAGGGAAGTGAAGTGTCATGTGACAAGGCTATCTATGTGAGAGGGTCTTGGGAGGGAAGTGAAGTGTCATGTGACAAGGCTATCTATGTGAGGGGGTCTTGGGAGGGAAGTGAAGTGTCATGTGACAAGGCTATCTATGTGAGGGGGTCTTGGGAGGGAAGTGAAGTGTCATGTGACAAGGCTATCTATGTGAGGGGGTCTTGGGAGGGAAGTGAAGTGTCATGTGACAAGGCTATCTATGTGAGGGGGTCTTGGGAGGGAAGTGAAGTGTCATGTGACAAGGCTATCTATGTGAGAGGGTCTTGGGAGGGAAGTGAAGTGTCATGTGACAAGGCTATCTATGTGAGAGGGTCTTGGGAGGGAAGTGAAGTGTCATGTGACAAGGCTATCTATGTGAGAGGGTCTTGGGAGGGAAGTGTCATGCCCGCTGAGCAGATCCATGCTGGAGGCAGACAGTGAAGGTTGTCTTTGCAGGGACAGCGTTGATGTGATGATGAACATTTGTGCCTGTGTTTTTGTCTGAGTGCTTGGTTACACTTCCTGTTTCAGGTCCAGCCACTAACTGCATATTCTGCATGACTGACCCATCTGGAAGGAAAGGGTGGGAAACACGGTGGCTCGTCACAGCCGTGCCCGACAAAGTGATGTCTCCACCGCCCGTCAGCGCATTCACAGAGCTAGGCTCTCAGATGAAGGAACAATTCCTTGCTTCACTGGTCGCTGCCTGGAAGGGAAGCATGGTGTTCTGTTTTGTACACCAGTCCCAGGAAGATGCTATAAATATGATAATAAGGCACTCCGAGGTGAAGCGGGTCATCCTACACTTCCTGCAGACAGTGGACCCATCATTGAGGGACATTCGGATGGAGGTTGAACTGCGGGAGTTGGGTCGGCCAGCGGAGCAGACAGCACAGAAGTCAGGTAAGGCAAAAAATAAAATAGTTTTGGTCCTCAGGCACTGTCCGCATCATCATAAAGTCTGCTGCACGTTTTCTTTTCAAAACATTTTTAAAATCCTAAGACTTTAAAACAATGTGATCCAATATAGCAAACAGTTACTTTCCTTAACATGCGCACTGCTTAATGTTACTGCGCATCTCTTGTTACTGCGCATCTCGTCTTACTGCGCATCTCATGTTATGGTCATGGCGGCAATAGGAGTTTGTATGCTTGTTTATGTAGGGAGGCCCTTTCCCAGGTTTATGGTACACAACTATATATTTGGTGACATACTAGTTTGAACAAGCGGAACACCATCTAGCTCTGTAGTTCTTAATTTAGAGGTAGTGTATTATTAGTTATGGTGTCTTTAGGTGCCGTATACAGTCATATATACAGTGTCATATTAGGTTAGCAGAAATATATTGGGTGAGGCGTCATCCACCATAATGAATTTATTATGCAGAGCTTCCACTCTCTGGTATCCATATCGCACATGTCAAAGTGAAAACTTGACACTTACAACCAAACGTTGACGTTAAGGGTCAAAGGGAGACTACTCTTCAAGCCTTAGAGGCCAAACCTTGTTGAAAATTTTAACTATCATCTTTATCCATAAAGTCACGAACATGATCTAAAAACAGATTAATGGCCTTTCACATCACAATTAATGATAGTAAAACACAAAACTGTGTCAAATAACAAATTTTAGTACCAGAATTTCCATGTGAAATATGGGAGGTGGGTGTTGGAAATTCCAAGATGACTGTTACTTACAGTATACCGTCTCATAATAGGTCAGTAGCCAGAAACCTATGATTTTGGGTGCGAATCCCGGTTCGTCCTGATTATCTTTCTATGTTTGTCAGCACCATCAAAATGGTTAACGTCTGAGACCTGCATCACTTCGGGCTTTCCTCCCACATTAAGCTGACACACCGCGATATAACTGGAATACTGTTAAAAGCGGCTTTAAAAACCCAACTCACTCACTCGTGATATCAATCACTTGATTGTTAAGTCCAGATTTGATTATTTACAGATGACTGTCATAAAGTTGGAATATTACCGAATGAGGCGTTAACAACAAACAAACAACACAACCTATTCTGTGTTTCAGCCTCCAGTAACCCGAGCGAGAGGGAAGCAGGGAGCCCTGGAACTTCCCAGGAGTCTGATCTTCCCGGTAGGTGGGGAGACTGTAGACACAAGATAACACTGCCAGTGCGGCATTCACATGATTCCGAGTATCTTAGTATGACAATAGTCAGTCAGAAAGCTCATTCCTGATATATATTATCACAGGACGTAAGCTGATGCTGACAGTTTCAGTCTTTTCTAACCATCGTGTTTGTCTCCACAGCCACCAGCAGGGAGGAGGAAACACAGGAGTCTGGGACCCCCCTAGGACGGAGCTCTGACACACCAGGTGGGTGGAGACAATGTCACATGAATGCAGCTGGCAAATCACAAAAAACACATGACTGTTACAGCACCCCTGACATTATTATTTTATGAAAATCTTAATCCCTGCATCCCAAACATATGAGGTCCATTCTCACCATTGTTTCTCTAACCATCTGGTATATATCCTCACTCTAAGATGTGAACACTGTAGCGATAAAATGTGAACACTAGCTGAGATGTGAATACTGGAGGTGTAAGGTGTGAACACTAGCTGAGATGTGAATACTGGAGGTGTAAGGTGTGAACACTAGCTGAGATTTGAATTGTGTAGGTGTAAGATGTGAACACTAGCTGAGATGTGAATACTGGAGGTGTAAGGTGTGAACACTAGCTGAGATGTGAATTCTGTAGGTGTAAGATGTGAATACTGTGTCTGTAAGATGTGAATACCGTGTCTGTAAGATGTGAATACTGTAGCTGTAAAATGTGAACACTGTAGCTGAAAGATAAAGTTTCCCGGCATGTGTTACAGCGACACCGACCCCCACATTCAGAGACCCCAAGGCAGACTCCGACCTCCATGAAGCCTGCTGGAAGGGGGACCTGGCGGCTGTGCAGCGGATCCTGACGGCAGGTCGGGCCGACATTAACTGTAGAGACGAGAGTAAGGGGACACCGGTTATAGGGGCAGCACGGGGGGGACACAGAGAAGTAGTGGAGTTCCTTGTGAGTGAAGGAGCTGATGTGTCGCTGGTGGACTGTGACGGTAACAACACCCTTCACTTCGCATGTATGGCTGGAGATGTAGAGATGGTGAAGTTTGTCCTGTCACTGAACGTGGTGGTCATCGACACCAGGAATAACTACTGGCAGACAGCGACCGACATGGCGAGACTCTGGGGACATCAGCTCGTGATGGATCTGCTGGAGTCCCGTGGCGCTTAGTGACGTCGGTGTTTGTGTACACGCTGAAGGAGGACATGTTGTTACTGACAGTGACATGGTGTGTGCTGTTCAAAATCGTCATGAGTTATATTTCAGGCTTAAGGTGTAAATGTTTGTTTAAGTGTAAATGTAGATGCTGTGTGATTACTGATTGGTATGTAAAGACTACATCTTGTGATATAAATCTGTGTCAATTGTGTGTTACGTGTTTATGATTAATCATGAAACAGACAACACGCTGTTTGTTTACATCTCGCTGCACTCTGTGACCTCAGACTGAGCCGAGGTTCGCCCAGCTGACGTGGAGCCAAATGTACAATGACAGTGACGTCACACTGCTGATGACGTCCCGGGTTTACGGCAAAGGCCTAAGAAATAAGTGTGCCCACCATGATGTGGTGTGCCGGGATCCGAGCCCTGTTAAATGGTATTCCAGTATTCCAGTATTCCGGATCTGGTTCACAGATACCAATAGTTTTGTGTTGACGTTTATTATTTTAATGCAGGTCATGACTGGTGATTAACGAACTCCGCCCAAAACATCGAATGATACCTGTTATGGATGGATTGCATATGCAAACGCAAGTACAACAATACAAGCTTCGATTCCCCAGAAAAGCCAAGTTTCTTACTGACTTACAGCAGCAATACTTTGGACCATATTGAAACAACTGATGTCAAGCAGGCAAGCAAAACGTAAAAGAAAGTAAAAGTATAGATTCTTGTCCCTTGTGGTTAAAAAAAGACATTCGATTCTTATTTCTACTGTTGTCTTTGCTCACTGAGGCAGTGAGGTAACCAAGTGGTTAAGATGTTTGTTCGAATTCTATTCCTCACATGGTTACAATATGTGAAATGTATTTCCAGTTTCTTACACACCTGTTTACACGCTTGTTTACACGCCTGTTTACACGCCTGTTTACACACCTGTTAACACGCCTGTTTACACACCTGTTTACACACTTGTTTACACGCTTGTTTACACGCCTGTTTACACACCTGTTTACACGCTTGTTTACACGCCTGTTTACACACCTGTTTACACACCTGTTTACACGCTTGTTTACACGCCTGTTTACACACCTGTTTACACACCTGTTTACACGCTTGTTTACACGCCTGTTTACACGCCTGTTAACACGCCTGTTTACACACTTGTTTACACACCTGTTTACACACCTGTTTACACGCTTGTTTACACGACTGTTTACACGCCTGTTTACACACTTGTTTACACGCCTGTTTACACACCTGTTTACACGCCTGTTTACACGCTTGTTTACACGACTGTTTACACGCCTGTTTACACACCTGTTTACACGCTTGTTTACACGACTGTTTACACGCCTGTTTACACACTTGTTTACACGCCTGTTTACACGCTTGTTTACACGCCTGTTTACACACCTGTTTACACGCTTGTTTACACGCCTGTTTACACGCCTGTTAACACGCCTGTTTACACACCTGTTTTCACACTTGTTTACACACCTGTTTACACGCTTGTTTACACACCTGTGGATGAGAAACCCATTGGAGATAACTGGTGTCAAACAGGTGTGAGATCGAATTCCAGGCCTGTGATTGGCTACTCCATGTTGATGACCTAAGGTCAGATTATGAATCCCTTCCTGATTAAGTCACTGATACGTCTCTAGAATGTTCCCTACCTGTTGCCCTTTAGAGTGGAAACCCCCTGGATGCCGTAGCAACATATATGTCCCTCCTCTTCAAGGTTGGGCCGCTCTGGTTTGAAGAGTAGTCTCCCTTTGACCCTAAAGTCAACGGCTGTGGAGTCAGTTTTCATTTTGACATGAAATATGGATACCAGATAGTGTAAGATTTTCGGCAAAATAAATTCGTTATGGTGTCTTACGTTGCCATAAACGGTGACGCCTCTCACACTATTTTTTTTCTGCCAACCAAACATGACAACCAAAGACACCATAACTAAAAACATACCCTTCGAGTTCGGTTGACAACGCGTATTATACATACACACAACACCCTTTCCCCACCTTCCCCCATCTCGCACCAACATCCCCAGTGCATGTTGTGTATTGTGTGTCTACACGTTTTTAATATGGAGACCGCCTCCGTGGTCTAGTGCTAGAGCGTCCGCCCGGAGAGCGGAAGGTCCGGGGTTCGATCCCCGACCGCGTCATACCGAAAGACGTTAAAAGATGGTACTTGTTACCCTGTCTGGCGCTCGGGATTAAAACAAGGACTGGAGTCAAGGAGTCAGTATACTGTGTATGAGTTGGATATTCATGTTAAACTGCGGCATGGTATCTCAGTGGGCTAGCACTATAAATCGGCATCAGTCCGGACTAGTACAAGCAGCCACACAAACACACACACGCACATGCACGTCGCTATATAAGTGCAATAATCTTGGACGCGACGTAAAACCCTATTTCACCTCACCTCACCTTTTAATATGGACATGACAAACATCGCATCTGTCAGACACGTTGTCATACCTAATTTATTTGCCTTGATTTCAACAACATAATTTGCATCGGTGACAAAGATCATTCGTCATTTGATTTAAAAAATGTATGAGGAATCCAGGGATGCAATTATCGCATAGGCGTACGTGAAACGTGATTTTGTAAACACAATCCAATATGGCGGTTATACACTTAGACGTTCGTGTTTGCGTATTTTCCAAAACATTCTTAAAGATCCTAGGCTTATTGGCGACGTTTCAGAATTATCATTACTGATCTGATGAAACACAGATACCCGTGATTATTAATATGCTAAACAGTGTTCCACGGTGTAACACATTAACTGACAGTCAGTATAGTGTGGACCTGCTTGGGGAAACATTGAGATGTGTAACAGATATGTACCAGTTGTCCATGATACACACACACAGCTAATGAGGAAAGTAACTTGTAGGCTGTTGTACTCGTGTGATGCATCATGAAACATAACATTCAGAAAACAACCCTGAAGTGAATGAAGCTGTCATAAAATATTACATGTTGATTGATCATCTTCTCTGAGCCATCGTTTCATATCTAAGTACTGTCGACCTTACCTCTCGGGTACCCTTACATGTACCTCTAGGCTACCCATTCAAGTACTATCGACCTTGCATCTCGGGTACCCTTACACATACCTCTAGGCTACCCATTCAAGTACTATCGACCTTGCATCTCGGGTACCCTTACACATACCTCTAGGCTACCCATTCAAGTACTATCGACCTTACCTCTCGGGTACCCTTACACGCGCCTCTAGGCTTCACATTCAATTACTGTCGACCTTACCTCTCGGGTACCCTTACACGCGCCTCTAGGCTTCCTATTCAAGTACTGTCGACCTTACCTCTCGGGTACTCTTACACGCGCCTCTAGGCTTCCTATTCAAGTACTGTCGACCTAACCTCTCGGGTACCCTTACACGCGCCTCTAGGCTTCCCATTCAAGTACTATCGACCTTGCATCTCGGGTACCCTTACACATACCTCTAGGCTACCCATTCAAGTACTATCGACCTTGCATCTCGGGTACCCTTACACGCGCCTCTAGGCTTCCCATTCAATTACTGTCGACCTTACCTCTCGGGTACCCTTACACGCGCCTCTAGGCTTCCCATTCAAGTACTGTCGACCTTGCATCTCGGGTACCCTTACACGCGCCTCTAGGCTTCCCATTCAAGTACTATCGACCTAACCTCTCGGGTACCCTTACACGCGCCTCTAGGCTTCCCATTCAATTACTGTCGACCTTACCTCTCGGGTACCCTTACACGCGCCTCTAGGCTTCCCATTCAAGTACTGTCGACCTTGCATCTCGGGTACCCTTACACGCGCCTCTAGGCTTCCCATTCAAGTACTATCGACCTAACCTCTCGGGTACCCTTACACGCGCCTCTAGGCTTCCCATTCAATTACTGTCGACCTTACCTCTCGGGTACCCTTACACGCGCCTCTAGGCTTCCCATTCAAGTACTATCGATCTAACCTTTCGGCACAGGACCATGTAACTAATTATAGCAATAAAAATAAGAAAAAGTCGGAAAAAAATCATAGACGATAGGTAACGATCTACTACTATAAACCTCACCTCTCGTAGCCGATCTACTACTATCAACCTCACCTCTCGGTGGCGATCTACTGCTATCAACCTCACCTCTCGGTACCGATCTACTACTATCAACCTCACCTCTCGGTACCGATCTACTGCTATCAACCTCACCTCTCGGTACCGATCTACTACTATCAACCTGACCTCTCCGTACCACCTCTCGGTGCCGATCTACTGCTATCAACCTCACCTCTCCGTACCACCTCTCCGTACCGATCTACTGCTATCTACCTTACCTCTCGGTACCGATCTACTACTATCAACCTCACCTCTCGGTACCGATCTACTACTATCAACCTCACCTCTCGGTACCGATCTACTACTATCAACCTCACCTCTCGGTACCGATCTACTACTATCAACCTCACCTCTCGGTACCGATCTACTACTATCCTTACCTCTCGGTGCCGATCTACTACTATCAACCTTACCTCTCGGTGGCGATCTACTGCTATCAACCTCACCTCTCGGTACCGATCTACTACTATCAACCTCACCTCTCGGTACCGATCTACTGCTATCAACCTCACCTCTCGGTACCGATCTACTACTATCAACCTCACCTCTCGGTACCGATCTACTGCTATCAACCTCACCTCTCGGTGCCGATCTACTCCTATCAACCTCACCTCTCGGTGCCGATCTACTGCTATCAACCTCACCTCTCGGTGCCGATCTACTACTATCAACCTCACCTCTCGGTACCGATCTACTACTATCAACCTCACCTCTCGGTGCCGATCTACTGCTATCAACCTTACCTCTCGGTGCCGATCTACTGCTATCAACCTTACCTCTCGGTGCCGATCTACTGCTATCAACCTCACCTCTCCGTACCACCTCTCCGTACCGATCTACTGCTATCTACCTTACCTCTCGGTACCGATCTACTACTATCAACCTTACCTCTCGGTACCGATCTACTACTATCCTTACCTCTCGGTGCCGATCTACTCCTATCAACCTCACCTCTCGGTGCCGATCTACTCCTATCAACCTCACCTCTCGGTGCCGATCTACTGCTATCAACCTTACCTCTCGGTACCGATCTACTGCTATCAACCTTACCTCTCAGTACCGATCTACTGCTATCAACCTT